CACTTACAAGTGTGTTCAGGTACCGCTAGTTGGTTTAATTTACTTAGAAGAGTGTCTGGAACGATGGTATTGAATGTTGAACTGAAGTCTACAAAGAGGACCCTTGTGTAGGTATTTGGAGATTCAAGGTGTTGTAGGATGTAATGCAGAGCCATGTTAACACCATCATCTGTCGATCTATTTGCTCGGTATACAAACTGCATGGGATCTAACAGTGGATCCGTGATGATTTTCAGGTGGGACAGCACAAGCTTTTCAAAGATTTTCATAACTACAGATGTTAGAGCAACTGGTCTGTAGTCATTCAGTTCCTCGATGGAGGGCTTCTTTGGCACTGGGATGATGGTAGAACGTTCGAAGCAGGAAGGAACATAGCACATCTCTAGTGATCTATTGAAGATTTGGGTGAAGATGGGGGCCAATTGGTCAGCACAGACTTTTAAGCAAGAAGGAGTTATCTTGTCTGGCCCTGCTGCTTTTCCTGGCTTCTGTCTGTGTAATAGGTCTAGCACTTCTTTTTCTGTGATCACCAGAGGTTGTGAGCCCAATGGATTGGGGCCAGTTGTAGGAAGCTTGGCTGTTGTTGGTGTATTTGAGATGTGGGTTGTGGAGATAGGTGGCTGTAGTTTCTTTTCAAACTTGCAGTAAAACACATTCAGGTCATCTGCTAGTTGTTGATTTCCTTCTGCCTGGGAAGGCGGTTTGCTGAAGCCAGTGATGTTTTGAAGAGTTTTCTACATGTTTGCTGGTTCATTTGTTGAGAATTGATTCTTTAACTTTTCAGAGTAGCTTCTTTTTGCTGCTCTGATCTCTCTTGTTAATATGTTTCTGCCCTGGTTGTATAGCATTCTGTCACCTTTTCTGTAGGCTTCCTCTTTGGAATGACGTAGCTGCTTAAGTTTAGCTGTGAACCTAGGTTTATTGTTACTATATATTGGCAGGTTCCTTGTTGGTACACATAAGTCTTCGCAGAAGCTAACATATGATGTTACATTAGAGAGCATTTCACCGAGGCAGCCGTCGTCGGCGCCATCTTGGCTGATGAAAATAAGCATGCTTATCTTTTTCCATCTTCTCGCCTTGAACAGCTCATCCAAAAACCAGAGCTTTTATCACACATGCGGGCTCCCATGGGATCTATGAGGGGATTTGCCATGGAGTACCAATGGTATTAATACCACTTTTTGGAGATCAAGCAGACAATGCAGTGCGGATAGAGTCTCGAGGAGCAGGAATAAAACTGGATGCTACTAAAATGACATCAAAAGATTTGTCCAACGCACTTAGGACTGTTATTTATGATAAAAGGTAAGTAATAGATGTGGTAGGGTTTCTCATAGACATCCCCACTTGCAGATACAGATTATTTAGCTGATAGAAGAGCCCTCTTTATGTTTCGCTGCCTTCCACAGTAAAGGACAGCAGGAGAGTCCTGCTTTTCACTTTTGACCCGCTCGCCACTCGCTTGCAGCAACTGGGATCACTGTGGGTGGCACCGGCAACTGGTGGAGGCAGAGGAACGGGGCCGCCCACTCCGTGTCCAGAAGCCGCTGCAAGCACATGTCAGGCAGCCATGAACTCATCTAGCTATCAAGCCACTGATAGGGAAGAACCTTCAGCCAGAGCAGCCTGCTGCAATTTAATGCTTTTAATTTACAAATAGAAACTTGATTACTGATACTATGTATTTCTTCTACTTCTTCGCTTTTTTTCCTTGTCATCTTTCCTCTCCTTCTTCCTCTCCTCCTTTTCCTGCCCGTCATGCTAAGCATCTCTGTTGGCAATCTTGTTGTTGATGAGGTTGTGCAGCACTATGGATCAGGCAAGGCAGGGGGTGGGGTTAGGGTTAGGCCACACCCACCCCCTTCCCCCAAAGCCAACGCTCTTAAGTAGGGCTCATTTTTGGGGTAGGTGCATTCTAACAAATGCTAGGGCTTATTTTCTGATTGGGTCTTATTCTCAGAGAAACATGTCGTGTTACAATTTTTTTTTAATGTATTAGAATTTATTGACTTAATTTTTTTTTAAAGAAAAGTTTAGAGTTTCAAAATGGATATTAAAAAGTTTTTTCTTCAAGGTTAAAGAATTTGAAAGAGTTATAGAGAATTTTTTAGAAATAAATGATCATAATCAACAAAGATTAATAACTCTAAATAAAAATATACTGTATATAACTTTCCACAACAAAAGAAAAAAGAAAAAATTGATTTGCTTGAGATTTTGATGTAAATTGTTTTACACAAAGATATTTTATCTGGTCCTATTTTTATTGGGATATTGTTTCTGGTTTTTATTCTCAATATAGGAGAAGATGAAATTTGGAGTTTGGAGATTTAATAATTGTATAAGTTATACAATTGGCTTGCAATAATTGTTAATGTTTTTTTTCTTTTTTCTTTTCCCTAAAACTTGCACTTCACCTCTTTTTTCTTTTCTTAATTTTTATTTTCCATTGCATTCCATTTATGTTATACTTTATGTCAGTAAAATACTTTTTTAAAAAAGTGAAAGACATGACTTATAAATGTCCATTTAAAAATATATTCCAAAAAGGCTGCTTTTTCCACAAAGAAGCACCCCATCTCCCACCTTAGGGATGACTCACCAGGCTACTTCAGAGGGCCACTCCAGAGTCTCCTTGCAGACTGCCACTCACTCTGGGACTGTCCTTAACCCACGAGAGTCATATACGAGAGTCACGTATACGAGAGTCAAGAAACTCAGTTCTCTATTTGTAAAATGAAGAAACTTCAGTCCAGAAGAGAACTTTCTAGACAGGTCAGTCCAGTCATCTTCACTTGAAATCTGGTAATTTCATTTTCTGTAAAAATATTCTCGACGTGGAAGAAGGCTGCAACCGGTCAATTAACTTTTAAATATAAGAATCAAATTAAAAGAAACAAGCTTAATATGTGCAGTTAAAAGCCAAGGCATGCTGAAAAATCCAAACAGGTGAGAGGAAAGATGGATACTGGACTCTCCAATTGCTGCTACCAGGAATTGCAACTTCCAGGATTCCTCTTCCTAGGAGTGTCCATAGTCATCCGAGAGTTGTTTTCATTCTTAGCTGCTCCCATTTGATCTAGGGAGCCAATAGTAGGCACGCTGCAGAAATCCACGTTGGCAGCAAAATCAGCCGTTCATCAGCAGGAGAAGC